CAGACAGGCAAAAATATTGCTCAATTTATAAAGTAGAACCCAAGATTAGCCGTTAGTTTCAACTTAAGTTCTGAGCATTTTGTAAGGCTTCAGCTGCTACAATTTCTATTATGAAGCCTATTTGAAGTAAACTTATCATTTCACATACAGATCAAATAAGTTCCAAAACTACCGGCAGATCGTGATTCAGAACTGAATTTCCCCTTTATCACATAAGATGATTTTAGGGTGAAAGTTGCATTTTCCTACAATGATGGACATAGGTATCACAAATCAAATGAATTTCGTCTAGAATTTCTCTCCAAAAAGTATTTTCACACAGGAAGCACTACAGTTTCAAGCCGACCTAGGCCTCGTCAGCAATCCCAAAGGGATTCGGACCCGGAGAGTGCAGTGTTTATTTTCCAAATGTTGCCATTATGCCAGTGGGACGTATATTGCATGTAAAAAGTGAACCTTGCATTTCCCGGGTTCTAGTCTTGTCGTGGGTGATGATGAGACCTTGCATAGGTCTCAAGAGACAACTCATATATATTTGATTTACTGGTAATCTCACTCACGAAAAAAGTAATTTCGTCGATTGCTATAGCAAATATAAGCTTGCTTCATCGACAATTCCAACACAGAAGGTGATATAGAAAATGCCTGACATTCCTTGGATTTCACATCCACCTTGTGACCCAAGGACTCTGGTGGAAAAGAGGCGTAATGGTTAAAGTGTCGAACCTGCACTCTGCACTCTCATGATTCGACTCCCGCTTGGTGTGTTGATAAGACCTATGCGAGGTCTAAAGTGCAGTCCACCCTGGATGAGAACACCTTTTAAGAAAGCAAGGTTATGTGAAATCTAAAGTATGAAGACCAAGATGGTGTGGCCTTTTGTGTGTTCGCAGCCTCCTTTCGTTGTATGTAGGTTGTTTGACCTTGTTTCCGCAATTTGGTCATATTGGTAGGAAGACTTAGAGGAACACACCTAGTCCGGAGTCCATGGTATGCATGATTATTTCCAGAATCGGACCGTGGACGTGGTACAAAGTAATATGAAGTTCAATGGAAAACATCTACTCTACTCATATCATTGTGAAAAAATCAACTGCCAATCCTTCATTACCTTAAACGAAATAAGGTGAAAACAATTCGAATATCTTATTTACTGGCAGTCTCATAAACCTACTTACTCACGAAACAAGCATTTGTTTGTCATTAAACTCATCAACTTTAATTTATATCAAGTGAGTACGCTCCGAAACTATTAATAGACTTTCTATAAGACCTCGAGATTCTATGAACCCTTTGAGGTTACGCAAGAAGGTACATTTATATTTCTTATAATGAAATAAGAAGGTCTTTCTAAGAGGCCAGGCCAAGGGAAATTCATTGGCATTGTAAGGCGGCAAGGGATTACAGTTAATGGGCTTTAGGGCGCTCCCAAATAATTTATTTAATTCATTTTTTTCATTGCATTTGCGAGCCAAGCGTCAAAATATTAATGACTGACTCTCTTCTACCTGAAAGCATAATCTTCGCTCGACTGTAGAATTTATTATTTGGGTGAACCGGAGATAAATTTGGGTTTTAAAGTCCCAGAAAAGCAACGGGATCAACTGACATAATCGGACGAGATTGACTATGAGAATCGGTTTACTCACATTGTCCGAAGTCTTCTGTCAAAGTCGTCATAAATTCCAGCGTTGGACCATGGACTGGCTACATTCTCAGGCGTTTCGCCGACATCGTAGTCGGCATCTTCAGTGAGTCTTGCCATTCCCTGAACCAAGTTACAACTCATCAGGGAGCCAAGATGAGCTGTAGCCTGGTGCTGAGAATGACAATACTCACTGATGCTGCCGACGACGATACCGATGAAACGTCTGAGAATGTACCAAGTTCACGATTCGACACTGAAAATTATGAGCACCATTATAGCAGAGGACTTCGGACAAGATGCGCCCAACTAAGTCTCCCTGAAAACACGACCAAGTTGCGAAAAGAGGTCAGACCACATCTACACATCGAAATGAGACTGCGGCCAAAATAGAGTCCACAACTTCTTGGACTTCGTATCTAGGGTGAATAGAGTTAATATACAGCTCTGACGGGAGATAGGTATGTTAATCAAGAGTAATAGAGAAATTCTCATGAACTGAAAAGCGCCATGCTCTAATCACATTTGGTTCAACTCTTTTAGCATTACTTGTGGCCGGGGGAAGATGGCCTAATCTATCGTCCACCCTGCTAGGCTAGGCTTAACAATATTCTGGTCTCCCAATATCTGTATCAAGAGTGAATAACTTTCAGTACTGGTGCACTCTTGCCGATAATGGGGTTGGGTATTTTTATTCTAGGCCAAAGACAACAATCTTGATCTCTGCTCTGGGGGTACATATTTGCATATCCCTTCGTCGCAACGTCTTGTGCAAAGTGAGAACAAATATATTATTGTACCACCAGCTGTTGTGTTGAGCTTCACATACATGTTCGTTCAAAAGTGTGCATGTGCACGTTTGGCTAAAGATATGTGTGCGTGTCTGCGTGTCTTGCTTAATGCCAATATAAGATATAGTTTTGTTTTTGCGTGATGTTCTCTGACAATGGAATTTCATTTAACTGAGTGAGTTCTTGAGTGAATAGTGCTTCTAGGCCTCGTTTTAAAATGAAGACGTGACTTGGCCATTCGATTTCATCTTGTCATGCAAGCGTCGAGCATCAACACCTACCAACTCACTCTCGCCTTAGTTTCACCACCAGCCCTATTGGTATCAGAGCCAAGGACAATCAGACTAAATTCGTTCCACCTCTATACCCTCTTTGAAGTGAATTGCAGGCCTGATTCATAAAACAAGATAGATTTTCTTCAACTTATTTTATATGAGAGTTTACTTCGAAAATATCAATAGAGGATTTGACCACAGACGGAGCCACCCCATGTCGTCCTTAACGCACCGTTACATCAGAGACCCCAACGGGATTAGAAACTTGGTTATGGGGATTGCGGGCAGTTATGAGTTTCAAAGCAAATCAGACCTTCCATAAATCATAATTATAGTAGGATTGTCGATGAAAATACAGGCCTGTATTTGCTACTACACTCGACTTCTTAACATATTTTCAAGTTTAGTATGTTTATATGCATGCTGCTGTGCTAAAGAGTGTTAACGAACCATCATCATGTTCACGATTCAGTTTAGAGTCCCTCTTTGAGGCAAGCCTGAGTGAACTTTGATGGCAGAATGAGGCTTACATGTCTCATTGTAGTAAAACTCTCCAGTAAGTCATACATCACCTCAAGCGACCAAAGGTACTCAAGTTCTTTTATTCACACTCACTCTGGTTTGCACAGCATGCTCACTAACAATTCTTTGAGAATCTCTCTTTTACTACTACTCCTTCTTGCTTTCAAAGCCATTCATAGTTATTATCCTCCTCTGCATGCTAATTTGTTTATCACCCTTCTTATTCGATATTTCCTTATTCAAATTCTTCATCTTCTCCTTCTACTCCTTCTCTTATTCTTTTGCCTATTCTAGATATTATATTCCATTATATTATTTCTATTGCCACCTTATTCTTCTTCCTCTTCTCATTCTTATTCGTATTACTCTTCTTAATCTACTTATTCAGCTTATTCTTCCTATTCTTTTTTCATTTTCCTTTTCTTCTTAGTATTATTAGTCTTCTCATTCTATTTATTCGTAATACTCTTCCTTTTAGTTTTCTTATTTTTCTTCTGCTACTTCTTATTTTAGTATTTGGTACTATTATTTTTATTGTCTTTATTATATTCTTCCTTATTCTTATTTTTCTTATAATTCTTACTTTTCCAATTCGTCTTATCCTTTGTTTTCTTCCTCTTCTCGCTTATCTTCATAAACTTCTTGTTCATATTCATTATTATTATTCTTCAAGCCTCACTAGTTGAGATGTTATTCTATCTGATTTCCTGACAGGTAAGCATGACGGGGCAAAGTAATACATGAAACTTGATACTTCCTCCAAAGTAAGCACTTGTATGTCTCGGTTAACTCCTTACAAAGCCCTTTCTCTTCATTAAATCCATTGGTTTCCCTAGTCTGCCGAGCAAATGGCCCCTCTTAAGCAGAGCCTTAAGAAGGCATGAATCTTCAAGAGCGTGCATCAATCAGGTCAGAAAGGGAAATATCTCAAGCCAAATAAGTAGAGGCCAGTCAGCACAAAATGTATAGCTCAAGCCCCGGCTTAAGTCTTTCGAGTCTCGTCTTGGTCAACAGTCTAGTTAAGCTTGTAGACTGTTGCCTCGTCAGTCCTGAATGTGATTCATAAGCAGCCCTTACTTTGCGTTAGTCTCCCTTTTCCAATTTCTCCATCCATCTCTTACTCTCTACTCCATTTCACTCGTTCTCTCAGTCGAGCGGGGAAACGAACTTGCATCGCTTTAGATGTCACGTTTTAAGTGGAATTAGATTACCCTGGCCGATCTCGGGCTACAGCTTAGAGGAGAGAGGCCTAATCAAGCGTCGAGGCCAACTTGGCAGAAGGCGTCCACGTGCGGTAGATATCCTCATATTCGACCGAGTGGCAATCCACCCATCAAATCGGTCTCTTTCTTCAATCAATTTGCCGCCCGAACGACAGTCGTGGTCTCACAATCCCAGCACACAATTTACAATCCTTCGGTCTAATTTCAAGCTGAAACCCCCAGATTTGGGCCAAACCAATGTGCCCGACCTTCCTAATTAAAATCTGCCCTACCCAACCCAACCCAACCCGTGGCAAGGCCTCCACTCGGTCTATTCTGCTCTGGTGTGGGGTTGGCAAGACCTGAACGAAGAAATCTCGACACGCGGCCCGAGCTCGGCACAATCAACGTCGAATGGCGTTGATTGCGCAGCCAATCTATGCATACACCTACCCTACTCGTGAAGACAGAAAGGCATTTAGCTAGAAAGATGTATAAATGAATGCACTATCTATCTATCTATCTATCTATCTATCTATCTATCTATCTATCTATCTATCTATCTATCTATCTATCTATGTGCAAATTGAAAAATATATTTCAATATATGAGCAAATCGTAAAGTATATGAATTCGTGAGCGGTGGTGGAATTCACTGGTTTAATTAGGAGGGCGGAGTTGGAATAGTAGCAAATTAATTTGGGCTCATACTTAGAGGCTTTCTTGGTCTGGACGAGTACATTTAGCTTCTGGCCACTGACTAAAAACGTGGTAGACATCCCCCCTGGTTCAGTTGGAACTCATTATCTTGCCGGTTGCTCGAATCCGGCCAGATCATAATTGTGAATGAGGCAGGTGGACGCGTGTCGAGCCCGTCCTCTTAACAGCGAGATGAGCCACTTCTCACACCAAAAGTTGCTTCCATTCGCCCACCCCCTTTGCTCCATTTACCACTTATTCTTTCACTGCCTCCCTATTGCCGACATTTGCCCGATGTCGTCTGCTCACTCGGGACGCCAGTGGACCGGACATTTCACATTTGTACGCCCATGATGTCGTTAGCTAATTCATTTCCATTTCGTCTACTTGCGGTCATTTGCATCATGGCCAAGTGAGCGATCGAAAAGGCGAGTGCCATTGCGTAATCATTCTACCCTTTTCCGAGTGGAAATCACTGCCTGACCTGGCCACCGAAGAGAACAAGCCCCATAAGAGGAAAGTAATTAGGATTACTGTCTTCAATGTTCATCCCACCAGCTGGATCGGCCCCATCTTCTCTTGCCACATGAGGCCAGATTTAGATGACGCCAATTGTAGGAAAGATTAAAGCTGGCTAGGGAGGTATGCTTGGGAATCGAGAAGTGAAGACTGGAATGCTGTCTGGAAGAGATGGCGAAAATGTGGCGAGCCTAAAAATCAGGTACATTAAACCTTTGAAGTGGGTCAATTTTGAGAAATGGGGAATGGAGTCCTTTGGCTTTCTTCGACAGTTCCCTCAAGAAATGAGGATCACATCCGTCAGCACAATTGTGCTCACTCTGTGAGCAGTAGTGAGGCTTTACGAGACATAAACATCGGAACGATGTGACATGTTAGGCGGTCCGATACTTCGGGAAATTGGTTCGCTAATCCGATGAAGATCTGCGAGCTGAGTGAGTGACCGAGTCAATGTATGCGGCAGGAAGCGCGAGAAGGGTGAGGAAATTTCGATGATACAGCATCATTCAGGTTGGAAACAGCATAAACACTATCATCAGCTGCATTGGTGTTACATTCTCATTTGTCTAGAAGAAGTTGAAAAGTTTCCTCAAACCATCATCTTGGGTTGAATACCATCCAAATGAAGATATTCTAGAAAGAGGTCCAAGGTCTACACAATAAAGACTAATTACATAACGTATGCATTAGTATGCAGCATGGAGATGAAATTGGGATTATGTATATGCTATGGATACAGAAATCAGAATCATCACTACCACACGCTATAAAGACACAGAATAAGACCGTAACTTGAGGCTTGACTACCACCAAAATTACGATGTTAAAGCGTCTATCAGGTATCAACACTATAACTGGTTAGATAAGAGTTCTAATCTCATTCGGGGATAGATTATAACGCTTTCTCGAACCATATCTATAGCTTCAATCGAAACGAATATTCTTCACATGAAGATGCTCTATACTGAGGGGCAAAGGAAAGAGAATAAGACCGTGTAACTTCGAGGTTTGACCAAAGATCCATTGTTACTCTAGAAATGTCCCCAAGAGTCGGAATTGCGATGTGCTTGCATGTTAATTGTGGTTAGTCTGCTCTCTATAAAATAGCGATGAGGCTTGGAGTCAACAATTAATTTATGCTGTCATTCTCCACAAAAAGGCTTTCGCTGCCCAGGTGGATTGCAGTTTTCACGTCGCACAGATCACATCATCCTTCCAAGTAGGCTTCGTATAAGGACCGATCATGGATGAAAACCACAAAGCTAAGACAGGGCAGATCCTTCTTAACTAATTTCATTGCATGGATATATAAGCACACCTTTCTTTTATAAGAGTTTTATTTATTATATTTCGTTTTAGGTGGTGAATGACTGTAGTTGGATTTTCCCACAATAATATGAGTAGACCTCATTTTTCCATTGAATTTCACATGACCCTAATTCTCCAATGTTTTTCCTATCCAGGCCGAAGTGGACTGCGGTTTGGACCTCATCCTCAACACCCCCAACGGGACTCGAATCCGGGTTGTGGTAGTGCAATGTATAGTCTCGACACGTTACCCACTAGGTCATACTTTATCGAGTGCCCTTGTGTCAGATGGTAGATGTAAATTTCAAAGAATCCTAATCCTTTCCCATTCCACGTAATGGTCAACGTGTAGAAACTGTACATTGCACAACCCGAGTCCCGCAAATGGGTGCTGATGATACCCAGGAGAGGTCCAAAATGTAGTCCACTTCAGCCTCGATGAGAATACCTTTTGCAAAGCAAGGCTACGTGAAACTCAATTGAAACGTAAGGACTACTCATATTATTATGTAAAAATTCGACTTCCAATGTGAATACAGTCCATATAAATGGTCTACTGGTAGTTTCGAAAACCGAATTATGAAACATCTTCCTTTATTCTGTCTCCCCACTAAAGTCATCGGTAAGGCATTAAACCATTATTGGGTAGGTGGTTTTATTCTACTACCACCTTACTGTCACATGAAGGAAGCAATCTCATCCCGAATGGATCAGGTTTGTAGGATTCTCCTATTTCAATTTTTCATAAAGCTAATTTACAAATCTCTTTAACTCGCCGTTTGAAATTGAATAAATTATTCGAAGAAAAGTTAGGTTTCGAGGATCTCTTTGGTTTCATAATTGTTTAGCTTACTTCCATTTCGGGTGAAAGTATTGGGTGAAGAGATTCGAAGGTCGGTTCCACCACAAGACGACGACGGATTCCTTTTGACCAACTGTCGATCGGCTTTACTGGAAGATTCATGCTAACGCTGTTTCCGAGGCAATCTTCTTCAATTCCGGCGAAGAAGTTTTCTTGACTCGTTAGCTTGAATGTTGTTGTGACGATGTTACCTCGCTCTGATGATGTCCGACATATGACGAACGAAAGCTTAGCACGTTTTCACCGGAATCGAAGGAGATTGCCTCGAAAACAGTAAAGCCAATCGACAGCTGGTCAAGAGAAATCCACCTTCGTCTTCTGGTGGAACCGACCTTCTAAGCCCTTCACCCAACACTTTCACTCAAAATGGAAGTAGGCTCAACAATTAAATGAATTATACATGTTTTTTACGTCTATCTGTATTAAGCGTTACTCGATCTTAAGCCAATATTAGTTTTAATAGCATATCGCTTTAAATAAGAGATGACAACAGAGACACTTAAATCACGCTGACGGCTTGACGCTAACGGGTATTGCAGCATTATAGGCACCGAGAGTCATTGGACATCCATCATCTTTGCCTCTCGTTTTCTTTACCAGAAAAGCGAACAATATTGGAAATTTTAACCAACGAGAATGCTATGAAGCTGCACACACCTTAGCCGTGATCCATTCCTTTCACTGGCCTCGACGATACCAGCTGTGATGAAAATCTACCCGGTCGGAAAGTGTTCATTTTTTACTTGACTCAGAGGAATGAGTTGAATTCACCCTATTTCGTCTAAGGTGATGAAGGACTGGTAGTAGAATTTTCCCACAATGACATGAGTTGAGCTGACGTTTTCATTGAATTTCACG